TAAGCTAAGTTAGCCGAGACGACACTATGTCGGACGGACACGATTTTCTGCCAATCTGTGTTTTTCCCTTTTTGGCCAAATATATTTTTTACTACAACTGTCTTGTTGACGGCGTCTTTTATTCGTTCCACTGGGGTTTAGCAGGTGTGTTTATAAAGAGACGAAAATTGTTTGGGGACTATCCCCCACGTTCTAGTCGAGATGGTATAACCCAAGAGGCAAAATGACGCTTGCTACTGTTGTTGCGAGTTGCCATTCGTTCTACTAAACCATTAGTCAAACGCCATCATGTCTTCTGTCGTTATTACACAAACAAAAATCTCTTTACTGTCACTAGTGTTAGTGCCTCAATATGGCTACGCTCGTGAAAGCAATACAACGAACTCAAACGCGTCTTCGTTCAATGTTGTAAACTAATATCCGGATTAATTTTATACAAATTTTCCTCAATTCTGCAGAGAAATTTTCATAAAAATTTGAAAAACCCGGAATTCCGGGAAAATCCGGAGGACTTTCATCTCTGGGAAACCCATCTTTTCATCACGGAAATTAGAGGCCCGTGAGAATAAGTAGATTATAACATTTACTGAATATGACAAAGACACGGCGGCAAAAGTCATACATCTGTTACTTCCTGGCAACTGCTTGCGGCCATCTGCTTTTGAAGGACATTCACTAATGACTGTACAGAGACCACAAGATTACTGCTCATTTTCAGACCTGGGTCTGCAAAAAAAAAAGAGAGAAATAAAGTACAGCATAAATGTTAACATGAATGAGTTCAATTGACAAAAATTAGTTTGCCACCCCTGGAATAGACTATTTAAGTCTTTTGTGTGGAAACATCAGTATTAACCTGTGTCGTTGCCATCTTTTTCTTTGTTTTTCGCAGTTTTGAAGCTGGGCTTTATTGCTTGGGAAACAGAAGATTTGGTTGCAGCAGCAGTTTTATTCACTCTTGTTAGTCTTTTAGCCTCAACTTTCTGGACTGTTGGCGTTGCCACAAAAGGCTTCCTTGTTGAAGATGTTGAAGGAGGATTACTGGTACAGCGACGGGGGTGCTAAGAGAAAATAGAGAGAATGTGTGTTTAGGTATTGTTTTTAACTGCAGTGAATGTGATGAACAAATGTAACGTGGTAGAGTTTATGTATTTATACAAAAGATATGCATTAAGCTTTAGAATACATTTACAGTGGAACCCTTGAATTTGAATGACATTTACCATGCAACAATCAGTTCTGTGAACACCGAAGAAGTAACACCACAAGCAGAGCTGTCAACCTATTGATATTTGCCTGCAGATCTGTCTATCTATCTATATAATTTTTTCTTTAACCCCCAAAAATTCTTGAATAAGCGTAAGCGCCAATAAGCATTTTCCACCAAAACAGGCATTGTCTTCCCAGTGTTAAGAAAATGTTTAAAAAAAAAAACAAAAAAAACTTTTTTTTATGTCATACAGTCCCACTATCCACGCACGCTAAAAACATGTGTTGAATATAGTTAACCCTCATGTGAATAGGTGAATATAATTGTGAATAGGTGAATCCGCACATGCTGAAACGTGAACATGTGGGGTTCACTGTATATAATTCTAAATACGAACAACTGTAGGTCAACAGTTTTCAAAGAACACATTTTGCAATACTATCAAGAGTTTAAAATTCATCTCACAGGTTCTTTCTTTTCTTTGCCAAGCTGAGAAGCCGTGGAAGGAGCGCAAATGTTCTGTTCCTGCATCAGTCTCTCGACTTCTTCTCTGATGCGTCGTGTCAAACCTAAGTGAGAATGTTCTGGGTGGATGGATGGAGAGCTGCTTTCCGATCTCTTCAGTCCTTTCAACTTGATGGACTCTACCTTCTCTGGTTGTTCATGGTGTTCTTCATTTTTGGTCAAAACTGGAAAAGTTCTGTCTAATGGACAGAAAAGCTCCTCCTTGTCATGTTCACTATGATCAAGCGATATGACAAACAGAAGATTACGTAAACCAAGTCAAAACATATGATACATATATAAAGTACATAGTAATGCCACATTTAAGCATAACCACAAAGTATGCTGCGGTGAACACATGCAGGCAGAGCACAAATTATGGTCGAGGTGTAGCTAGCAGTTTCTAACAACTAGTAAAATGTCATTCTCATTGGACCAGCTGTCCACAAAGTGGAAATAAACTGAATTAAATAATCACATTTTCATTCATAGTCTTCTTCTAAGTAACCATGTGAGAAAAATGTTCAGGTCAGTATTCGTTTGTCTTTGCTCATGACTATAAACATTACTGAGAACAATTTGAATCACTAACCTGACTGGTCGGATGGGTCGCATCAATTCTTCAGCAGTGGGTAATTCTAGATGAAGAATAAATATATAGATCATGTTACTTTAGTTTAAACCAGGCTGAAGCATACATGTTGAACTTTAAGATTATTCCAAATTCATATCAAGGTTTCCATGATTACATTTTATGGCAATTGAAAACATGACTTAGCTAATTCAAAATGCATTCGTTTGCCCAGGTATAGAACACAGTGGTGCCTTAATTTACGAGTTTGACACAGTGTCTGAAAAAGCTAGTAACTCTGTTAACTAGTATGTCAAACCAATTTTCCCCGTTGAAATGAATTGCAATGCCATTAACCAGTTCCACGCCCTTGAAAAAAAAATACTTACGCATTTTACGAAAGAAAAATAGCACTAACAGCACTTGGACAGTGAACTACAGCTACAACTATCCTCCCATCCATTTTCTAATCCGCTTATCCTCACGAGGGTAGCGGGCGTGCCGGAGCCGATCCCAGCTATCTTCGGGCAGTAGGCAGGGGACACCCTCAGCTGGTTGCCAGCCAATTGCAGGCGTTATATGCCATTAAGGATTACATTCATTTTTCATCTATCCGGAATGCAACTGTTGCATCATAATTCTTTTGTCAGGCCAAGTACAATTCATAATACGATACCAGACTCATTGGTAGAGGCACATTCAGGTGACTTTGCGGCTTGGTGACGTTTGGAGGACAAAGCAATTGCGTTATTGTTGCTATCGTTCCATTCCAGGGACAGACGATGCAGTTTAAGGTCATCGGAATCCTCTCCAGTATTAATCTCGCGGTAGGCATTGTGAAGAGCGTCCATTTCTGACCCTGCACTCTGTACATACAACAGGTCTGCCAAAAAAGCAAACGTGTGTTAAGCTCTTACCAGAGTCAAGATATTTATAACAAGACGTTTAATAAGATCTTTTTTTTTTCATTACATTTAGTTATTTTTATCTTGTAAGAACACGTTGCCCAAAAAGAGAATCTCACAGTGGTGAACTGAAATAACTGGAAACTACTCAATGAAAATCAGATGTTGCTTTTGAATTGTGGTCCAATAGGAAAAATAACAATGAAACTGGACAAAAACAGTGGTACCCTTGAACTAAGAGGACGCAAATTACGGATGTTGCATGTTACCTATGTCCTGAGATCCTGGTACCTCTGGTACTTCTTTCATTCTGCCTTCCATTTGTCCTTGAGAATCTTTATATGAATTATCTAGTGAAACAGAAACCAATGACAAACAGATGAAGACATTGATATATCATTGATAACATAAACCATAACCGTTATATTTAGCACATAAATAATATTAAAATGCTTGAATGAAATGTAAAATATTTGGAAAGAAATCGTATAGGGGCCCCGGTATTCGGATTAAAAAAAAGTGTTTTTTTTTTTTTTGCTTAGTTAAAAGTACAGGAGACAGTAAAACATGTTTCCACTTAATAATGAACAAACAATTGGTTTCCATTTTTAGATCATGACAATTTTATTCTTAGATTTAAACTGTGCTCAGCAGCATACTATTATCATCTCTAGAAACATTAATAAGATTTTAGAAAAATCGGTCCCCATTTTTTAAAACAAATGTTATTGAGTCAATGCAACATGTTTTGACATTATATATGTTCATATTAATTCAGTCAATTATCTTTTACAGATGTGACTTCCATACCGAAACAAATATCGTTTTTGGTTTCTGAGACAAAGTGACGACAGATTCACAGTCACGCTGTTGCCGGCTAAAACAACACACTTGAGTCAGCCTGGTTTGTGCAAAAGTGTCGAGTGGGAACCGTTCCCATGCTGACAGGCTGACATGAACGGCAAATGTGTCAGCCTGTCAGCATCAAAGTGCACAGTCAATTGTGTCTATTAAACTGCTTTTCAAAAGTAATCCGACGGCTCTCTCTGACTGCTAGCTGCTAACGCTGGACCTGCCGCTAAGAGCTGGCAACAGTAATAATAGAAATATGGTATCAAACCTCCGGGAATAATATACATGGCTGAAAGTTGAAAGCAACGTTGAAAATCTGTTAAATGAACAATAACTAGTGAAAGCATTGTTGGTAATGAAGGCCACACAATGGACTAGTTTGCACCCATTTCAGTGTGCAAACCAACCACAGGAATTACCGGTAGTTTTCATTTTGTCATGCTTGATAAAAGTTTTCTATTTAATTGAATAGAGTAGTTGTATTTTTTTACACTTCTGTACATGAGAAAAAAATGCATTTTACAAGAAGCTGTTCAAGTACGTGTAGTGTTAAATCCATTGTCTATCTTTCCTTTGCCTTACCTTTTGTGATAACTGGTGACATTATAAACTTCTGGAAAAAAAAAGCCCAAAGAATTAAACATGTTTGCCCCTTACAATTTCATTTAATGAAAAACAAACAATATGCCATTGGAAGCAAGACAAGCAATCCTCCAAAACGCCACCTGGACCCAAGAGGGTTCGTTGGGTTAATCATGTGCAGCACAGCTAAGATGCTACTAAGCAGTCCAACATTAACCCAACTGGGCTGCCTCTGAGGTCAAATTGCATCAGATAAAAACAACAAACCTCGATTGCAACATCCTCATCTTCAAAATCCTTATTGCACTGTGTCAAACCTGTGAATGTGGAGAAAGGAAATATTAGATGCAAGCACGAGAACACGGACAAACAAGCAACCAAATAATTACACCCCGCTTACACGGAGAACCTCCAATCTTGTTTTGGTCATTATCATTCAGATCAGGTTCCTCCTCAGAGATCCTGTCGAGACGATACCCATTCTCATTACAATGTACAGTAATATCCCATATTATTCATTCTGCGGAATATGTACAGCTATTTACCTACCTGCGGTGAATACCAGTCGTATAACTTGTAATGTCGATCTCTTTGTTCAACTGACAATAATCTATATTAGATGAAGCACGTGCTTCAAGTTCTCCAAAGAACATGGCCTTTTCCTCTTCTTCCATCAAAGTGTCCAATCCCTCACTCGAGGTTACACCTGTCATAGGAATAAGAAGACGATATACGGTATGTTGATAAGTTTCACAGATGATTCTGTTGAACTGGTTCACAGTATTGATGGATATATGACGGATATTCGAGCGACGAGACAGGTGTATGTTGGATCGGACGATGGTGCCCTATGCACTTTGCATACTCTGCTTATAGGGAGCAGCGACCCTGCACACACACACACACACACACACACACACACACACACACACACACACACCCCCACACAC